CCCTCAACACTGGGTAATCAGAGGAGCAGGAGGTCATGATAATGATGCGCTCCAGGAGTCCCAGGGTCTCCAGGAATTCCAGGATCCGCCGATTTTGTACACGGGCTGCAGAGACAAGGGCCGCCAGATACCCTGGAGATCTTGGAACGTCTCCTGAGCCACTCTAATCATGAGATGACACCCGTCCTACACGAGCATCAAGTTTCGGAGTTCCGCACGGACTTCTTGGATGTCGGCCCCTGGGCCCTCTCTCCCTGGCGGCGCCCGCGCAACCCTCTTCCTCCCCCTCCATTTCCATCCCCTCCACCTCCTCCTCCCTTCCCCCCTCCAATTCGATCCATTTTGGTCCGTCTTCGAATGTTTCTTGGGATTGCCTTGAGGCATCTCTCGAGCTCGTCGTGGGCCGTCTTGGGGGCTTCTGGAAGCTTGATCTTTCCCGAGACGACCTCGAGCCTAAACGTTTCGGTCGCCAAAGCCATCGAGCTTTCTGCGGTCCTTCGATGCTATGCGCCTCTGAGGGCTTCGCTGGAGGCTTCACTGGGGGCTTCTTAGGTCTTACCCGGGAGATGGTGCCTTTAGGATCTCTTTGAGCTGTCTTGTGGGAGTTCTGGGGCGTCTTGATGACCGCCTCGGGGCGCACTTCTCCTGTCTTCGAGTCGTCTTGAAGACGACTAGAGCTTTGGGGGGCATCATATTGTGAATGTGTGTGTGTGTGTGTGTCTGTGTGTGTGTGCGTGTGGTATTTCGACGGTGGGCGGCCCTCCATAATTACAACGACCCTACTAGACAATCAACAAGCAGTGTCACACGCCCCAGCGTGCCGTTGGCACGGTCGCGGATCAAATTATGGCTGCAGCTCTGGGGACACATCCAAATGACCGTGGTGTAGACCGAGCATGCCGAGTGGCAATGCCAGAGGTGAAATAGAACTGTCTCAGAGGAGAACATTGAGAGGAGAACATCGTATTTCTGCGTGCCTGCTCGAAAGCAGGTCCTCGACATGCAAGACACTCGGCATTTCTTGTGGGAGAGGCATACAACTGACATGTAGCATCATCGTCATCATGAACAGGAAATGGTCGGGAGTCGGCAGCCCTCGGCACCTTCCTTTCACTACGTATTTTTGTTTTCGGCGCAGGATGCCTGACTCCCGACTTCCGGCTGGTGGAACCGCGGTCGAAAATGGCACCGTTTTTTTCTTTTGGAAGTCTGTGGCTGATTAAGGTTATGGAGGGGTGGAGGCAGAGGAAGAGGAGGAGGAGGAGGAGGAGGAGGTTATTGAGGAGGGGGAGGAGGAGACGGAAACGGAAAGGGGAAGAGGACCAGGACAATCGCGGGGTTCAAGCTCAAACAAGTTTGCGCCCTACTCTGGTACTCAATAACCCCGTGAGTTGTAATTTCTAAAGCGGATATGGCCCATCGCGTTCGTGCTTCCACTGGCATGCTCGTCTCTGCGGTTATTTCCCAACCCTTCTGTGATGGCTCCTGTTTTGAGTCGAGCACTGAGGTCGAGTCTCCTCCTTCCTCCTCCTCCTCCTCCTCCACCACCCTCCTCCTGCCTCCTCCTGCGCTGCTCTCTGGGCGGCTGAAGATAGTGCAAGCTGCGATGTGCGCAGCTGTCGCCACTTTCGTGGCCTCCTGGGAGGCCTAGCGGAGTGGGGGGGCACGGGGACTTAGTTGGGACCTCGCGGCTCCCCAGGGGCCTGCGAAGTGTTGTAGGCTCCTGGGAGGTCCCGCGGAGAACGGGGACACGGGGATCCAGTTGGGACCTCGCGGCTCCCTGGGGGGCTGCAAATGTGCAATTTTCGCCATTTTCTCGTGGGCTCCTGGGAGGTCCTGCAGAGAGGGGGGACACGGGGATCCATTTGGGCATCGTGGCTCCCTGGGGGGCTGCGAAGCGGCGAAGCGGTACTTGTCGCCACTTTCGTGGGTTCCTGGGAGGTTCAGCGCAGTCGGTCGTCACGCGGACCCCGGCGCGACCTCGCAGCTCCCTGGGGGGGAGTTACGAAGTGCGCAATTGTCGCCTTTTTTGGTGAGCTCTGGGTAGATCCAGCGGATTGGGGGGCCAAGCGGACCCAGCCGAGACATCGCGGCTCCCTGGGGGCTGACACCTGCGAGGCAGGGCGGAGTGTGGTATCACGCGCACCTCGCTGGCAATTGCGCGACAGTTTTTCCTTGTGTTCTTGGCAAGCGGGGCGGAGTGGGGTGCCACGCACACCTCGCCGAGACCTCGCGGCTCCCTGGCGGGCGGGTCAGTGCGCAATTGTCGCCGCTTCCATGGGCGCCTGGGGGATCCAGCGGAGTGGAGGTGTACATACGCAGACCCAGCCGTTCTTCCCGTACTCCCGCTACCGTGCTCTTCTGATTTCATTTCAGGGTGCTCATGCGTTTTTCGGGTCCTTCACAATCCGTTCGTTTGTAGCGAGCGGTCCTGGGTGTAGTCGCTGTATGTTTAGAAAGGGTTCGGTACGTCACGGGGTAATTTTTCCATGTGCCCGTTCAGTCACTGGAAGTTCCGTCTTATCGGCTTTCGCGAAAGTGATCGGGCGGGGTTGGGACCAGGAAGCATATTTCCAGAGCGTTCCGGCATGCTTTCAGAAAGTTCTGGAGCGCTCTGGATCGGCCGTGGGTCCCGATACATCCTGCCTAATCGCAGGATCTCAAAGATGGCCGATTTGTCCTGGCTCCATTTTTCCTCCCAGTCCTGACTTTGTCTTCACTGACTTCTTCTGCCGAGCTGAGATCGCACCAGTGGGGATGCATTGACTCGGCCCTACGGACGCCACGGAGAGAGAGAGAGAGAGAGAGAGAGCCAGCGCGTGGTTCCCAGGGGAAGCACCTGCAGCACGAGGGGGACACTGGGAGTCCGACTTCCGCGGGGGCGGCCACGGGAGGGGTGCTGCTGGCGGGGAGCCAGGGACCAGGCCCCCGCTGCCGTGGCTCCCCGTTCCTCCCGTGCGCTTCCTGCCCCCCACCCCCCCCGTGCGCCGCGCACGTGCCTCCGGCTCTGGTCCGCGGCCCCCTCTCCCGGTGTCGCCCCCCTCGTGGAGCGCCCCGAGGGCGGCCAGCAGCGGGGCCTCGAGCGCGTGGTCCGCGCAGCAGTGTTGTGCCGCCGCCGAGGTCTGCGGCGTCGCCTTACGAGTTCCAGTCGGGCGTGGCCGTCTACAGGAGGAGCATTCAAGAATAGGCAAACAAAAGTCAGGGGACGGTGCTTGAGCATTTTTTCACTATGTTTGAATCTTCTCTTGCCGAGTTTGCAGTTTTCGGACAAGATCCGCCTCCAGGAGGACACGCCCGACCTAACCTCACAATCTGACAAGGTGGCTGCGTGGTTCTCTCTACAGCCTCGCCAGTTTTCGCGGCCGCGCTGGATCGCCTCGCGGAGGACTCGCCAATCGGCAGTGCTGGTACAGTCGGGGCGCTGAAAAAGGAACCCTTTTCGTTGGGGAGGGGCTCGGGGTTCCTCGATTGCTTCACAGTTTGCCTTGGGTTCTCCGGAGGTTTTCCATGGGAAATCGAATTTGAACTGATAGGAAAAAGGAGCCCCCTTCTTTGTTTGGGGTTCCTGAGGTCAGCGCCCCGACTAAAGCGCGATATCCAGCCACTGCCAGCGTCCAGCTGCTGGATGTCCATACGCTACCGGAGTGTCTCAGGTGTCTCAGGTGCCCCGTTACGATTCGTACAGTCCACCCGCACAGTAAGGATGAGCGACTTTCCCGAGAGTGCCCCAATGCATCCTTGCCTCCGCGGCCCATCCTTGGCTTAAGTCGGGCCTGTCCCTCTACAGGGGGAATATTCAAAAATAGTCAACAAATAGTCTGGGGACTATTTTTGAGTATTTTCGGGCATTTTTTGAGTATTTCTTATTTTTCGTCCAAAACCCCCCTGCAGGGGGACAGGCCCGACCTAATCCTTGGCCGCTTTCGCTCGCCGCGAGGTGGCCTCCCGAGGCCCTTGCCTCCTCATCGCGCCTCCGTGTGATACGGGCCGACTGCAGTCTCGCTCGCCCTGGCCCTCCGCGAGGCGCCTCGGAGCGCCGACAGGAGAGCTCCCACAGGGCGCCGACGGCGGCTCCAGGAGGGCGCCCCCCGAGGGCTCCCGGAGGGCTGCTGACGGGGGGGGGGCCCTCGCGTCGCCCGGGGCCCGGGAGGCGCAGAGGGCCTCCCGGGGAACTTTTGGGCGAGGCTCCACTCCGCGGCACCGTGCCGGGTACTCCCTAAGGGGGGTTCGGGGTTAGACAGAACCCCCAACAGTGACACGTCGATTAGTGAATTGTCCGTTTTCGGCTCTCGAGAGGGCGCCGTGGCCGTTATTTTCCAGGCCTGCGCCCGCCAGGTTTGGGCCCCAGGTCGTTGTCACTAAACCACGTTTTGCTAAAGGGGGTTCTGTCCATCCCCGAAAGTTGCCTCTTTGGGGCCTCTCTCTGGCACTGCAGCGTTGCCCACGTCGGGAAGGACTGCCTTCGCCGGGCCGCTCGTCAAAGTGCCCGTCGGTGGAGTCCCCGCTGGAGGGGCGCTGATCCACGACGCTCCACCAGGAGGACCGGCCCGAGGCAGCCAAACTCGTACTGCTACCGTCACCCTTCCCTCGCCTGCACCTTCTTGGGCCTCCTGGGCGGCCCCCAAGAGGATCAAAGAGAGGTCGGGTGAGAGGCGGTGTCGGTGCGGCAGGTTCGCGCCCCGTCGGCGTCGGTGCGGCGACCCCGCCGTGGGCGTGGCACGCCGGACGCCCCGCCACCTTTGGCCCAGAGGAGCGGCCATCCCGGAACGAGCGGGGCATCGAGAAGCCTTAAGTCGGGCCTGTCCCTCTACAGGGGGAACATTCAAAAATAGTTTTTTTTTTTTTAAAATAGTCTGGGGACTGTTTTTTGAGTATTATTGGGCATCTTTGGGGCATTATCTGAATATGTTTTATGTTTCGTCCAAATGCCCCCTGTAGGGGAACAGGCCCGACTTAAGAGAAGCCGCCGATCGTTCAGGGTCGAGCGATCCGCGCGGTGTCAGGAACCAACGCTGGCGTCGTCACGACGGCCACCTGCCGCACGTGCAAGCGCTTCGCGCAGCCCGCTGGCCCAGGCTGCTTCCTCGCTGCCCGCTGCCCGGGCGCTCCGCAGCATTTTTTGCTGGCTCGAGGCGCCCCCCCCCCGGGCGGGCAGAGCCCGGCGCACTGTGCCGCAGTGCGGCGATTCGGGTGCTGCCAGAGGTGTCCCCGGCTCAGGGTGCCCCCGAGAGTCTCGGGGAGGCCCCCACGGCGTCAAGACCGCCTCTCGAGAGTCGAAGAAGAACAACTGCATTATCGCAGTGCGACCCTACCTAGGAGTTGGAGCCTCTAGGAAAACAACATTAGTAGGAGCGGTAAACACCGTCCTCCTCCTTCTCCTCATCGTCGTAGTTATAGCAGTAGCGGTAGTAATAGTAGTAGTAGTAGTAGCAGTAGTAGTAGTAGTAGTAGTAGTAGTAGTAGTAGTAGTAGTAGTAGTAGTAGTAGTAGTAGTAGTAGTAGTAGTAGTAGTAGTAGTAGTAGTAGTAGTAGTAGTAGTAGTAGTAGTAGTAGTAGTAGTAGTAGTAGTAGTAGTAGTAGTAGTAGTAGTAGTAGTAGTAGTAGTAGTAGTAGTAGTAGTAGTAGTAGTAGCGCCAGAACCGCCGACGCCACGCCGTAAGTGAAGCAGCAACAGAAGCAGGCAGCAAGTCGCCGAGACAGCAGCAAAAGCAAGCAGGCACGGAGATGAGGGCGGGGCACTGGGGAGTTCTCTACATCTACATATATATCTACACCTACATCTACATCGACACCTACATCTACATCTAGATTTACATCTACATCTACACCTACATTTACATCCACATCCACACCTGCATCTACATCTACATCTACATCTACATCTACATCTACATCTACATCTACATCTACATCTACATCTACATCTACATCTACATCTACATCTACATCTACATCTACATCTACATCTACATCTACATCTACATCAATATAGCAGCAGCAATCGTGGATGCCGTGCTGCGCTATGCTATGCTATGCTATGCCATGCTATGCCATGTTATGCTATGCTATGCTATGCTATGCTATGCTATGCTGCGCGATGCTATGCTGGGCTAGAATAGGCTAGTCTATACTATGCTATGCTATGCTATGCTGCGCTATGCTATGCTGCGCTATGCTATGCTATGCTATGCTATGCTTTTGCTTTGTCTTCGCTTTTGCCTTCACTTTTGCCTTTGCGTTTGCTTTTGCTTGGCACCCAGCGAGCGCAACTGGGGGAACCGCGCGTTATGCTTTTACCTTTGCTGCTGCTTCTGCTTGGCTCCCAGGGGACCGGGGGAATCGCCCAGGGCGGGCTCCACTGCCCGGCCCCTTTAAGCTACAGAGTAAGAACCCCTCTAGGCAGAGCCCAGGTAAGGAATAAACGTGGAGGTTCGGAGTTCCGCGTGGATTTCTTGGATCGGCGCCGGACCCCCTGGCGGCGCCTCTGGCGCCCCCCCCTGGGCGCGCTCCGCGCGCCAGGGGGGGCTCCAGCGCCGATCCAGAGAACCCGCGCGGAGCGTCGAAAGTTTCTGTGCATGTTTGTTTTGCTCCTCGATCTCAAGAGGCCCAGGGGCCCCAGAGGGGGTTCACGTGATGCGAGGAGCTGGGTCGGAGAGAGGGAGCTATGCATTACCGGAGGCGGGCTGCTACTCAGTCCCAGGACTTTTTGAGGGTCGGGGGCGACGTCGGGGTGGCGTGGCGTATACGTGTCTACCCGTTTTCCCGGAGAAACAGCGACAACTGTAAACACCAGGACTTTTTCTACACCAGCATCCGCATTCTTGGGCCGCCAACAGCGTCGGTGTATGGAGTTCGGCTCCCTACTGGGGACACCCCGAACCAGGCGCACCTCCGGCCCCCCCGAGCCATGCTCGCCGTCTGCTGCCCCCCCCCCGTCGAGGGCCGCGAGAAGCAGCACGAGATCGCCCGCTCCCCGTCCCTGTGGCAGATGGGGGACGACGGCATCGTCAGACCCAGTCTCCACCCCGAAGAAGAGAAAAGACTCGAAGAAGAGAAGAAGAGAAAACTCGAAGAAGAAGAGAAGACTCGAAGAAGAAAAAGAAGAAGATAACGCTGGGCAGTCGAAGAAGAGAAGACTCGCAGAAGAGAAAAGGCCATGAGCATAAACTTTGGGCGCTCCGCGCGGATCTCTTGGATCTGCGCTGGGCCCCCCGGGCGTCGCCTCCGGCGCCGCCCCTGGCGCGCTCGGCGCGCCGTGGAGGGGGTCCAGCGCAGATCCAAGAGATCCGCGCGGAGCGCCAAAAGTTTCTGTTCATGGCGTTTCCTCTTCTTCTTCTTCTTCTTCTTCTTCTTCTTATTCGTCTTCTATGGCATCAGAGTCGATGGAATCGGAGGATCGCGCCGCATCGCCGATGCATCAGCGATGCGGCTCGATGTGGATCCCGATTTTCTCAACGCCGACGGCGCCAGTGCGTCGCCGATGTCGCCGGGGCATCGCCAATGCATCGGCGATGCATCGCCGATGCATGGGTGATGCGGCGCGATCCTTCGGCCCCATCTACGCGCACCCCATCCAGGAGGCCTCTACAGACCCAGTCCCCATCCCCACAGGGAAGTCGAAGAAGAGAGGACGGCACAGGGCTCGAGCTAACTAGGCGGTGTTTGGGCTATTTCGTGCGTCGTTTTCGGTTTGATTGCGGTGCGCAGCAGAGGCGGAACGAAGGTGGAACGAGGGAAACCGGGAACGAACCGATAACATCACATATTTCAGGAGGGGAAAAAACACACAGACACAATGAACTGTCGATTTCCCAGAAAATATGGGAAAGTATGGGAAGTGGGGGGGAAGACGAGAACCCAGAAAATATGGGAAAATATTGGGAATCTTTTTATTTGTGTATATTTATTTGTGTGTCCCAGGGCCCCTTCAATATTGTTTGGCCCGAGCCCCGAAACTGCATAGGCACAAACTGTTGGAGGTCCTGGAGGCGCCTCCGGCACCAGGAAAGGGGGTGGCCCAGCGCCGGTCCAAAAGAAATCCGGGCAGCCTCCGAACGTTTCGTTCATGCCTCTTTTTCGGCGGCAAGCGAAGGGAGGGAACTGAAAAGGAGAATGCCTTCTCTCAGGAGGGGAAAAAACACACAGACACAATTAATCGTCGATCCCCCAGAAAATATGGGAAAATATGGAAAGTGGTGGGGAAGACAAAAACCCAGAAAATATGGGAAAATATGGGGAATTATTTTATTTGTGTGTATTTATTTGTGTGTCCTGGGGCCCCTTGATAGAAATCCGCGCAGCCTTCGAACGTTTCGTTCATGCCTCTTTTTCGGCGGCAAGCGAAGGGAGGGAGCTGAGAAGGAGAATGCCTTCTCCGAAGGCGGCGGGACTTCTCAGAAGCCCTCTCGCCGTCTGATCAGTCTTCTGTGTCTTGGGGTATTTGCGAGAGGCCGGAGGACTTCCGAGCCCGCCGATGAGGCCTTCTCTCTCTCTCACTCCCTCCCCCCCCCGGGCGCGCCGCCGCCTTCTTCGTCCTCCAATCCCAACTCGGAAGACCTTTTCGCCGCCCTCCTGCCCTGACCTTCCAGGAGGGCTGACAAACAACACCCGGACCCAGATACCCAAATTCTGGTCGAGATTTTACAAGCAGTCCAGATGGGTCTACAGGTCTGGAGCGCTACTTGTTGGCTTTCTGGAAGGTCAGGGTGGGAGGCCTTCGTCGCCACCGCTGAATCCGCCTCGAGAATCAAGGAGAGGTGGGCTTAAGTCGGGCCTGTCCCTCTACAGGGGGTATGCGTATTCGAAAATAGTCAAAACATAGTCTGGGGACAATTGCTTGGCCACTCTTTCTTTAGATATCTTTTTCGTCCCAAATCCTCCTGTAGGTGGACACGCCCGACCGAAGGGTAGGCGGGAGTGGCGGCGTCGGCACGGCAGCTTCGCGCCGTGTCCGCGTCGGCACGGCGACCCTGCCGCGGGCGTGGCAGGCCGAACGCCCCGCCACCTCGGGCCCGGAGGAGCGGCCAGCACGGAAGCCATCGAGAAGCTGCCCGGCCCACCCGCAGCCATCGAAGCGGCAGCTAAATGCCATCGATGACCTGGGGTGGACAGGAGCCCCACCCTGACACGTCGATTAGTGAATCGTCCGTTTTCGGTTCTCGAGAGTGCGCCGCGGACGTCATTTTCCAGGCTTGAGCCCGCCAGGTCTGGGCCCGAGGTCGTTTTCCTTAACCACGTTTTGCTAAACGGGTTTCTGCCCATCCCCGAGATAGGCCATCGAGAATTCGAAGAAAAACGCCATAAACATACATTGTTGGCGCTCTTTTGGCGCTCCGCGCCGAGCGCCAAAAGTTTACGTTTATGTTGTTCTTTCTTCTTCTAAGAATGTGGTCGGACGGGGCCAGGACGAGGATAAATCCGTTCCAGAGCGTTCCGGACCGCTCTCGGAGCATTTGTCGGGACGTTCCCGAGAAGAGACCGCGGCGCCCGAGGCATCCTCCAGGGCCGCGGGGCCTCAGGGATTTTCGATGTATCCTCGCCCGATTTTATCCCTGTCCTGGCTTCGTCTCATCGGAGGCCTAGGACGTGTCACCAACACCAATATCGGCGGTGTGCTTCCACCGTGGGCGCACGATCCCCATCTCGGTGATGGTGGTGGTACTGTTCGGTCTTCCTGGGCGCCCGAAGGATTACCACCAGTACCGAAATCGAGCACCATCTTGCCCCCGTGGAGCCAGCCCCTTGTTTTGTCGGGAGCCTTGAGACGGGGGTCAATGCAAATGGGGGTCCGTCAGAGCGCCGGATCTTGCAGCATCCTGCAGGACCAGGGCTGCTTTTCCCCGGGCTTTGGCGCAGGGCCCTGCAGGATCTTGCAAGACCCTGCAAAGCCCGACTGACCCAGGGCTGGATGGACCCCGGTCAGACGATCCCCGATTTTGGTGTTGTCGATGGCTTCCGATGCCGACTCGATTCGGCTCCGGATTCCGATTCGGGCTCCGATTTCTCACCAGAGGCCTGCCAGCCTGCCCATGTCCGACGAGTCTACTTCTCCCGACTCGGCTGTCGATTTCCGCCAATCGATTCCTTTCGATCGCCGATCCGACTCATCGATTTGTTTCTGGGCTCTCCTGCCAGCTGGCGATCGGAAAGCCGCGGATCGTCCGAGGTGTGCAGGCCGGTCGTTGGAAGTCGGACCTCTTGGCGTTTCGCGTGTCCCCACCAGCCCATGCAGACACGATCGGAGGCGAGGGGGCGGCGGGGACGTCGGCAGTTTGCGAGGCTGGAGCTGGCCGCAGGCGCCGATGTTTGTGAGAGCAATGTGGGTGGGTCGCGGGGTGGGTCGCGGGCGGGGTGGGTCGCGGGGTGGGTCGCGGGGTGGGTCGCGGGTGGTTCGCGGGTGGGTCGTGGGTAGGTCGCGGGCGGGTCGCGGGGTGGGTCGCGGGTGGGTCGCGGGCTTGGCCGCGGGGGGACGACAAACAACAAGCAACAAACAACAAAAAACAATAAACAACAATCCTCTCCGCAGAACCTCACTTCAGCCACGCGCCATGGGACAGTGAATGACCGTTCGGCCCCCTCACACTGATGATAGACCGACGCGGAAGCATCGAGGAGCACGGCCACGCCACTGCACGTGACCTCTCTCAACCTTGAGCGAACCGGGCCGCGATCGGTTCGGGGTGGAACGATCGACGCGGTGTCAGAACTCTTGGCGCGTGCCCACGCCGCGCGAACTTGCCGTAGGCTGGTGGCGTCGAGGGTGCCCTGGTGCAGTGGGGACGGGGACGAGCCTTAAGTCGGGCCTGTCCCCCTACAGGGGGATTTTGGACGAAAAATAAAAAATACCCCCAAAATACAAAACTAGTCTGGGGACTAATGTTTGAGTATGGTTTGACCTTTTTGGTGTATTTTTGTTGTTTTTTTTCTTTTTCGTCGAAAATCCCCCTGTAGGGGGACAGGCCCGACCTAAGACGAGCGGCAACCCGCGATGCCCGAGGACGAGAGCCCGCTGACCCCCGGCGGCCCCACGCTGCTGGCGCACGGGCCGCGCGTCGGCAAGGCGGGCGGCCCCCACCCTGGGAGCCCTCCACGGGCCATGCACGGGTTGTTCCTCGCTCCTCCTCGCACGCGGATGGAAGGGAACCGAGGAGGAGGATGAGGAGACGGAGGAGGGGAGGATGAGCAGAAGGAAGCGGGGGAGGAGGAGGACGGCGACGGCGACGGCGACGGCGACGGCGACGGCGACGGCGACGGCGACGGCGACGGTGGCGGCGGCGGCGACGGCGACGGCGATGATGATGATGATGCTGATGATGATGCTGATGATGATGATGATGATGATGATGATGCTGATGATGCTGATGATGCTGATGCTGATGCTGATCATGATGATGATGCTGATGCTGATGACGATGGTGATGATTATGATTATGATGGTGATGGTGTCTGTGACGGTGATGATGACGATCATGCCGATAATGAATATGATGCCGATGCCGATGCTGATGATGATGTTGATGCTGATGCTGCTGCTGATGATGATGTGCCCATGATGATGTTGCTGATGAGGACGACTCTGATGATGCCGATGATGATGATGATGATGATGATGATGATGATGATGATGATGATGATGATGATGATGATGATGATGATGATGATGATGATGATGATGATACTGACGACGACGATGATGATGATGATGATGATGATGATGATGATCACGATGCTGATGGTGATGCTGATGCTGATGATGGTGGTGATGATGCTGGTGATGATGGTGATGATGGTGATGATGATGCTGCTGCTGCTGATGACGATGCTGATACTGAAGCTGATGATGCTGATGATGAAGATGATGATCATGATTTGTGATGATGCTGCTGATGATGCTGCTGATGATGATAACTATGATGCTGATAATGATGATGAAACTGATGTAGATGATGCTGCTGCTGATGATGGTGGTGATGGTGGTGATGAGAATAATGATGGTACTGCTGCTGCTGCTGCTGCTGCTGCTGCTGATGATGATGATGATGATGATGATGATGATAATGATGCTGATATGCTGATGCTGATGCTGATGCTGGTGCTGATGCTGGTGCTGGTGCTGATGCTGGTGCTGATGCTGATGCTGATGCTGCTGCTGATGATGATGCTGATGCTGATGATGCTGCTGATACTGATGACGAGGGTGATGAAGATGCTGAGGAGGAGGGAGGAGGAGGAGGAGGAGGAGGAGGAGGAGGAGGAGGAGGAGGAGGAGAGGAGGAGGAGGAGGAGGAGGAGGAGGAGGATGAGGAAGAGGAGGAGGGGCGGTGGTAGGGGTGAGCGTGCTCACTGGCGTGCGGCAGGAAGGCGGGCTGAACAGCGACGAACGCGACGGTTTCTTTTGAAGCCGTCCGGGTTCCGAGGAGGCGGTGCCTTCCCCTCGCGCGCGCACGCCGCGCGCGCCCAGGGCAATTCGTCCCTGGGCCCCCGCCGAGCAGCGAGAGGGACGGGGGCGAGAGACCCGCATGCCGGGGCCCCCCCTTTGCGGCGCTGGTCCCCGCCGCCCAGGGGGAAGGGGGGCCGCGGGCGGGGCGAGTCGCCCGCGGGGCGCCCGCGCGAGCAGCAGGCGCGGGCGGGGCAGCGCGCTCTCCCCACGGTCCTGCAGTGCAGTCGGACCTGGGTACCCGACGAAGGAAGTCGCCGTACACATATGAACTTCTGGCGCTCTGCGCGGATTTATTGCATCCGCGCTGGGGGCCCCCCCGGCGGCGCCTCCAGCGCCGCCCCTGGCGCGCTCCGCGTGCGAGGCAGGGGAGTCCAGCGCAGATCCACGAAATCCGCGCGGAACGCGAGGTCGGTTTTGGTGGAGGTTAGCCTCGTGTTCTTCGTGCTTGTTGGATGTTCTTGTGCACCCTGGGGAGGGTTCCCTTGGATGTTCTGCGTGGCTTGGCCTGCGGAGGGTCTCACGCTCTTGGAGGGTGCTCCGCTGTTCCGGGTCCGACTGTGGAGGCTTGTCCTCCCACTCGGGGCCCAGGGGTCGAGGTGTGCAAAGCCCCTCACATCCCCCAGTCTGCCTGGAGCGTCGAGCAAGGCGAAGGCTGCGGCCGCCGGCGCCGGGGGCGGGGCATCCTCCCACGGCTCCGAAGCGCAAGTTTGACCACCAGCGGAAGATGACGAAGGTGGACGCCCCTCAAGAGCCCAAGGCCGCCATCGAAGATGGCGAGGCAGAGGATGTCGGCGCAGTGGCAGTTGGCGTCGACGATTCGCCCCCGCCGCCACCCAAGGCGAAGGACGAGCCAAAGAAGAGAACTGGCAGGAGTGTATCATCTCGCGGTCGCCCGGAGGTTCGAATGGACGAGCCAGGACGCTGAAGGACAGCGGTGGAGGACGACAGGTACAAGCTCCCCATGGAGGTGGAACGCGGGTCCGTCATTGAGGTGCGAGGAAGGGTGTTCAGCGCCATCAACTGTTTTCGGCCGTCGATCGCTCGTTCACAGTGGAGACTGCAAGGATGGTCCGTTCCTGGCCGCGTGCTATGTGGACGTGGTAGTGGTAATATCAGGAGGTCTTGAGTTTTGCTTCCCCCCTTTTTCATTCGTCGGTGAATCGGACTGGTCCTAAAACCTCTTCCTCCTCCTCCCCCTTCTCCCCCTCCTTCCTCTCCTCCTCCTCCTCCTCTTCCTTCTCCTCCACCTCCTCCTCCTCCTCCCTCTCCTCCTCCCTCCTCTTGCTCCTCCTCCTCGTCCTCTTCCTGCTCTTCCTCGTGTCATTCGTAGTAAACGTCGCAACTGCCGTCGTCGTTGTTGCGCGGCGGGTGCCGTGGAAAACAAAACTGCTACCCCCTGTTGGTGGGACCCCAGTCGTTCAGCAAGGCCACCGAAACTTAATTAGTTACCCCCTGCTGGGGAAATCGGCAAACTTTTCGCGGTTCATGGGTGCGGGCGCCAGCCTGTTTGCGTACTTTTTGACAGGCGCTGGCAACAGGTGTTTGCTGCGCTTCTGCGACGGCGTCGCGGCCGATTGTGAGGTGCCAGGTGACCAGCCCCGACCAGGGCCGCGAGCTCGTGCGCGTCGACTCGTGCCGCCTGTTGTCCAACCGGTGGGCAGGAGGGAAGGGCGTTCTTGCCCCAGCGGCTGGCCCAAGGAGGATCTGGCAGGAAAAGTGCGCATCTTCGGCGACGCCCAGGATGAGGCCCCCGCCGGGGGCCCAAGGCGCCTGGGCCTAGGAGAAGCGCGTGCACGAGCTGAGGTCGAACCTCAACTTCCCCGATGGGAGATATTTGGAGCTGCCGAGAAGCAGCGCCAGAAAGTGCGACATGCTCCGCCCAAGGAGGGCGTTCGCCAAAGACCAGGTGATCGTCGGATGAAGGGCCCCGCGGCCGCCGCCGACGACGTCGAGAAGGACGAGGACAAGTTGGGCTGTCGTCTGGCCCCCCCTTCCGGGCGCGCGAGGACCACGCGCCCTTCGCTCGCCAGTTCCCGGGGGGGCAGCTTCTGTATCTGGCGGCCGAGGAGATCGAACGCTACCTGCGCGCCCGAGGAGGATCCGCAACCGCGGGGCACATCCCGACGGATGCGAGGTCGCCGAGCTACCTGACGACGGTCGTCCGCGCCCATCTCCCCCTGGCAGCGCTGGCGGGGGCGGGGCAGGAGATTCGCGGCGCCCTGGTGGAGGTCATGGGCGCCTCATTCGAAGGCGATCCGCCCCTCGCCGCCGACGTGTGCGCGCGGAGGTTCACGTTCTGCGAGGTCAACGCCCGCGGAGACAGCGGCGCCGTGGCGGCGGCCAATGGGTCTCGCAGCCCCGATCTCAGGAGGGCGATTCGAAACGGGGGGGGGTGAGGGCAGGCCGAGGAAAAAGGATGCAGGCGCCATCTTGGGAGTTGGGGGCCTCGCGGCGCGGAGCGCTCAGCCTAGGATGGCCTGCCAAACCGGAGCGCGAACGAAACCGGGGGCTCGTCGGCGCGACGATGTGCGTTTTAGGCGGTTCCGTCAAGGCAGGCGCCTGCTCGAGCTGCCCCGCAGAAGAATGCATTCAGTCTGGTGCTGGAGGAGGGGCGCAGATGGCGAATGAGCGGGGGGCCGGGCAGCAGGCCGCCCGGCCACGTGCCGCCGTGGCAGGGGCCTCGACGCATGGACGGCCGCGAACCGGTCGGTTCGGTTGCGTCGGTGTCGGTTAGAATCGATCGGTTCGGTCGGTTCGGTTGTTGCGGTGTCCCTGCGTCGTCGCGCCCTCTTCGGTTACTTCGGTTGATTCGGTTTCGCCGCGGGCGCCTCGCTGGCGCCTCGTGCTGGCCCAGGGGATCGAATCGGCCGCCGGTTTCCAGTTCGGTTTCGCTGCCCACGGATTCGCGCCGATCTGATTCCGCTTGGCCTTTCCCTTTGAAGAAAAAGGGAGGAGGAAGAGGAGGAGGAGGTGGAGGAGCAGGAGCAGGAGGAGGAGGAGCAGGAGCAGGAGGAGGAGGAGCAGGAGCAGGAGCAAGGAGGTTGGTTGGCTGATTGGCCGGATGCGCGCAGTGGCGCATCGTTGGCCGGATAAATCTTGCCCCGTGGCCAGGCTTCGAAACGCTTCTTCCACGGGAAGTCCGGAGGCTCCCCGGAGGCGCCGAAGGCCCCGCGGGGAGAGAAAACATTTTTTCTGGCCTCGAAAAATTGTTTTTCGGCTCGTGGGGGTTCCGGAGGCTCCATGGAGGCGCCGAAGGCTCCGGGGAGAGAAACACAATTTTTCAGCCCCCTGGAGGCTCCCTGGAGGCGCCGAAGGCCCCGGGGGAGAGGAAAACAATTTTTCGGGTCTCGAAAAATGCTTTTATGGCTTTCCGGAGCTCCAGAGGCTCCCTGGAGGCGCCGAAGGCCCTGGGGAGAGAAAAACAATTTTTCAGGCCTCGAAAAATGCTTTCGGGGGCTCTGGAGGCTCCCTGGAGGCGCCGAAGGCCCCGGGGAGAGAAAAACAATGTTTCAAGCATCGAAAAATGTTTTTTCGGTTCCGGGGGGCTCCGGAGGCTCCCTGGAGGCGCCGAGGGAGAGAAAAACAATTTTTCGGGCCCCGAAAAATGTTTTTTCGGCTGC